GACGTACAGTGAAAAGTCGGCTGTCAACCGGGATCCAATCGAGAAGTGAACGCTCGACCTTCACACTTGGCGCAATCCCAAAACCAAAGCAAAACCGTGAGCTTCGGATGCCGAATCGCGTGACACAAGGAGAGTGAAGCAAGAGGATGAGGCTGGATCTGGAGATGGGAGAGAGAGATGACTGAAGTAGGGTCTTGTATGCGTGTTTCGGAGACACAGCATACGTCCAAGTGGAACGTTTCGAGGGTTCTAGCTAAGGCGGCTTGCTGACCAATCTGGTAGTGTATGAACATTGAGTGCGGCTAAGTGAAAACGGGATTTTAGTTTCAAAAATCTCGTAGTGCTTGATCTCATTAGTTGAACACTGAGTGGTATCCGATGGGTGGCACAAACAGGATGCATCTCTTAAGGTATGGTACTGAGAAGAAGTAGACAGCTGTGAAAGATGGTTCTCCAACTGGATACCTAAGACTTTTGGGGGCGGCATACGCCGCAGTTGCCCATACTGACGAAGAGGCTTTTGTTTGGGAACCCTAACAGGAGCCTTTGACTCAAAAGTTTGACCCACAACACAGTGGGGCGTAAATCCAACGCGGGAGCGTGAACGAAGCACCGGTGTGGGCGCTTCTAGAGACCTGTCATTCCTTTGAATTTCGCTCGGTTCAGCGTGTTGTTCGCTGGTGCGTTGATTATCGGTCCGCTTTTCGGGATCAGCCCTCAGCCTCGGGATCAGCCCTTAGCCTCATGCACTCAATGAGACAAGCGGAACGTGGACGGGACAGCACGTTATTGGCTGGGGGCTGCTCAGCTCGGGCGGACGGTAGCTGTCCAATGAAGTGCGAAGACTTCTTCCACCGTCGAAAGGAAGCCCCAGGTACCCCGCTCCTACGTCCATCTAGCAGGGGCTTTTTGACCGGTAAACTGCCCCTCACCGTGTTTATTTGCTCGAGTAGCCTATCCAGGGGCGTGTGGATAGAAGAAGGAATCAAGGAGGTGCCCAAGTAACTGGCTCCGTGGGACTGGGCTTCGTTTGGCCTCTACCCGTTGATCTTTCAGGCATGATTGGATCTACGGCCATCCTGTGTAGCTCGCAAGGTCATAGAGGCACGCAAGCCATCACACGACGTCAAGGTGCATTCTCGTCATGATGGTTGCACTTAAAATTGATGTGTCAACGTTCCGTCAGTATCGTAACTGTCTCCCATTGTATTGCTTTGTTGATCTAATTGTGAACAATCAGAGCAATTCCAAGTCAAAATTCATTAAATCCCATGTTATCACTTTTCCCCTAAAACTTTCTTATCTACTGCAGTGACGGTTGTTTTACCAAAAGTTCGAAAACTGCCTCTTTCCACGTGCATACAAGCTTAGCAAAAAACGGCCGGCCCCTCTCCCCCCCCAAAAAAAAACGGTACAATTCACGAATGCTGCATTCTGTTACATGGTCTTCTTATACTTTCTTTGATTAAATGCAAAAATATTTCACCTACCGTTCCAGAACCCTAAAATTTTTATTCCGATAAGTGGCACTGATGGAACCGTTTTATCCACAACTAAAACAGCACCATTTTGTATCTTATCCACCTATTAACCTTTGGTTCTGAATTCCCAATTGGGAGCCTCTAAACAGCCAAAAACGGTTACTAATTCAAATGACGAAGAGAAAGTAAACAGAGCCTTGAACAAAATGAAAGTGAATTCTGTTAGAAATGTGCATGATTGAAACCAATGGTAACCAGCCTCCACTGGAATGCAGGCCTACGCATCGCTTCATAGATTGAACATAAGCTCGTTAAATTCCCCAAACTCGTGATCCAGTTAGTCAACAAACAACGAGATGATACAACCCTTCTAGCGCGAGTGAATATTTCCATAAACGTTAGAAGAAAGCCGTTTGTTCCATTGTCACAATTATTCCCCGTGAATATCCAGGCAGAAACGACAGTTCCCGGAAAAACGAATCCGAAAAACTTCAAAGGAGGGGAAGCTTGCAAAGATCCAAAATGGGTTAGAATTGACGAAAAAGTACTAATTTTTGTGTGTGTTCGAGGGTGAGCACGGAAGCAACCGAACAGAAATAACAGCAAGCGATAAAAGCAGTACCAGGTACGTGCCCGAACTTGCCTTTGAGTGGATCAACGAGCGCACTGTCTCGCTCGTTTTGTCCGAGGAGTCGTGAACTTCGGGAAAACAGGAACGCATAAAGTTAGCTATGTCCAACACCTGATATATGGCTGTGCGCAGAGTCGGATACAACAGTGATGCGAACTACAAATTAAAGCGAGATGTATCGTTGTCAAGCATGCAAGACAGTAAGTACGAGGGAATTTCAATCAAAGCAACATGGAATCAAAATGAAGTGCGCAGTTCTTCTCCCAAACAACCACTCCAAAATGTTGATATCATCAGACAGAGTGATCGTTCATCACCAATAAAAATAGTATTATGACTGTCCTATTGAGTGCAAGACAAGTTACTATCACAATCCTAATTATTACGGTACTGTTTTCATTTATTCCGTGCATAACTAGTGCTGAAAGTAGTTTTAGAATGTCGAAACAGATCTGGAGTGAGTAATCTGAATATCAACCCCGCCTGCTGCACCAAGGCTACCAGGCCAATAAACCATTGAGTCAGGTGCTATTTAGATCCAAAAATTGTTTAGAAGTTCAAAATGCCCATGTGACTCTTTTGTTCTGTGTGTGTGCTGCAAATGGAATGCCTGTCCGAGGACAACGGGAGATGCAGATACGCGGTCAAATATAGATCGGTCGATGGATGAACTAACGCGACAACAGAGGAGCAACCTCTGACTGGAAACTATTCAACAAC